GATTTTATTAGTAGTACTGTTATCATCATTATTATTGGTCATTTTTTTATTTACTTCCCCTCCTTTTCCCTTTCTTGCATTTCATAGACTGCATAAGTTGGAAATACCCACACTTCACACACTACAACCTCGTTAAACACTCTATATCCTTTTGGAATGTCATGTAACTGTTATCTTGTCTCCCATGTTCGGTACTGTTTTGTTAATGTTTCTTTGTCTCAATAAAAAAAAAGTTTCTGTAAATGGGAATTTCCTTTTCCACATATTTCTCTGGGAAAAACAGTGAAAATCACCACTGCTACACAAACAAGAGACAGACTGGGTGTCTTACATATTTCCAAATGACACTAGAGTAACACAGACATATTCTGAATCACTAATAAAAACAATTATTTGTATAACTGTGCATTTTTCACGAGAAACTTCATCTCCAAATGGATTTTGATGGATCTATCATAAAACACACACAGAAAAAAACATGCACAGTGGAAGTTTAAATTAAAATCATAGCTTAAAAAACAAAATTCCTCAGTCCTTTAAATAGCACACACTAGAATGTTGCAATGAAAGGAGGACCTCAATCTCAAAAATTCCCAGAACACATACGGAAATGTTAAACTACACACCATGGGTTCTACGTTCTAGCTTCGTAAAGTGCGTTTGTGTGGCATGTCTTTGGTGTGTGTACTGTATGCAGCCATCACATCTGCCTTTCGAGCAGACGGAGTGGATGCGTTTCACTTTTCTGTGTCTATGTTCATGTCTTTATGAGACTGAGTGTGTGGATGTGTGCATGTCAAGAAGTTATTGTTAAGCTAACAAATTATGTCAGTTGTTTCACCACCTTCAAAAAAGTAAACATTTGTAACGGCATCTTCCTACCTATGACACTCTTGGCAAAGGAGGCCCTCTTTAGCGTGGCTAACCCCAAGTCTCCTATCTTCACCGAGCCCGTGGGCCCCGTGATAAAGATGTTGTCGCATTTCAGGTCTCTGTGAATGATGGGTGGAGCTCTGGTGTGCAGGAAGTGAAGGCCTTTGAGGATCTGTCTGCACCACGAACGCAGGACCTTGATTTTCATCACCTTGAAACGTTTCAGGTAACTGCAGGACACAGAAGTCACACATAAGATAGCATGTCATTCAACAAAGTGAAATAAAGTGTACAAAACTATAGGGAAAGCACAAGATTCAGCCCATCAACAGCCATACAACCTGTTTAATTGTGCCTTTTAGTCATCAATTAACAGTGCAGATGCCCACTGATCTTGTATAGCTGTAATACATTATACAGCATGTTGCAGTCCGGCCATACGAATGCCACTCATTTTATAAGCTAATCTTCTAGACTGAGAACAAGGTACAGGACCATTTAATATTTAATCATTTAATTTTAATCCTAAAGTATTTCCAAACAGTTGCCTATTGTCTTATTCCCTTATTCACACTTATTCCTGTCCAAAGTTATGAGAGCCTGGAATCTATCCCAGAATACAAGCACAGAAATACCCTTTGACAGGTCCCTCCAGGCAATGGGAAATCTAGTACAGACCCACACCTGTGAGTGATCTACAGTCTTCACACTCTGTCTGGCTTTCTACATCTTTGGAATGTTGGAGGAAACCTCACAGAAATTAAATTCTGATGAAATTATTTAATGAAAAAGCTTCAGTCAAAATTCCTCTTGAAGAGATTTGAGAACTCATGCAGAATTCATTTGTCTGTCACTGTTGATTAGCCAATTTAAAATAAATGTTTGAATCCTAACAAGTGTTATTTTTTATTTTCTCATATCTGCTGGGTTCTTTCACTGCCCAGTTCCTAAGAAAATTTAAGTAGGGTGTCAAACAGCACTCCCTAGCCATCTTCTGATCAGCCAGACAATGAGGAGGATTCAAGAGACATTAACTATTCCATGACTTCTCACCCTTCCATATGTGTAAATTTCACTGCATTACAGCAGGTAGAATCATTGTGTTGGAGCTAATTTGATTAATTCATTAAAGCACTTTGGTTCCTTCTTATTCTAGTGACTATATTTAAATCAAATGTCCAAGCTTCACACTTAGATGGAATCTGCCCATGGTCCTGGTGAATAACTGGCAGCTGACTGAACCACTGAGTGGCCCCATCTCCACAGCTGACCTGATGCAGACCAGCATCAGTGAGTCTGGCTCTAGTGGCAGCACCACAGATCTTGAGTGTCAACAGCTACTCTAATAATCCAGCAACTGCAAATCTGTTTTCACTGACGGGGAGCAGCCCAGACAATCACTGGATTCAACATTGGAGAGCAATCTACTACAGCCCACATCCATCTAGTTAGTTTAAGATCCAGATGCACTACGAGCCATAGGTGCGACCGTACAGAGGCAAACAGCTGCCAGGCCAGCAGGCAGCACCTCTGCTAATTGGTGGGGTCTAAAGAAAACAATGTGGAGTGTGTCCTCGGCCTAGGATGAACTCTATTTGTACTGAGATTATTGATGACACTACAGAATTCACACCAGACTGTGAACATTATAACATATACTATAGTATTTTCAGCCTGCTAACATTCCATGCCCTGAAGGCAAACTCCATATGAAAATAAGTCAATCCACCCAGAAATTTTGCTCTGATAAATTCTTCCATGTAACTATAAAAGACAGGGGGAAATAGCTTCCAACTGTGTGCAAGAGAGAAACTTGTGATTTAAAGTCATGGAGAGATTTCACTGTTTAATTAAGAAATATAAAGAATTATAAGAATATAAACCTCTTCTATGCATCTCTGAAGAAACAGCACTGTGTTCTACTCTTCTTCTCTCAGTGTCCTCCTTTCTTTTACCTGCCCACCCACCTCTTCATCACCTGTCATCCCTGCTTTCTTTGTCCCGCTTTCTAAAATCAGAACAGTGTTGACAGACAAGTTAAACCCTGTGGCATGTGATACTAGAGTGATGCTGCACAAAGCAACTCTCGCATGCACACACACACACACACACACACACACACACACAAACATTCACTCGGTCATGTTCTTTCAACACATGTAAGGTGAATACATACAGTGACATCTGCAATGATAAGTGAACCCTACAGAATTACTTGTCTGCATGAACACATTTGTCTTAAATATGGTCAGATCTTCATTTCAGTCACATGAACTGTCCATACTGAACATATCATTCAGACAGCTGGGGCTGGGAAAAGGTTTGTGAACACTAGCCTAATGACACACACACACACACACACACACACAGAGCCATAGAGATGTGTTATACTGTACCCTCACGCCAGGCTGGTTAGTTTTTCCATCGTCACAATCTCCCTCATTCCCTATCAGTCCTCCCTCTTGTCATCTCTGATACTTTTTCCACCACTTCAGTGTCCCTCTCCTTTCTGAGTCCTCATCTGGATGATGGCCATATTCCTGTGCGGCCTTGATCCTATTCTTATATGTGCATGCAGGTACTAAACATAACTGCAAAAAACGCATGTGTGTGTGCATGCATTTCATGCACCTTATTTACAATGCAAAGAGTTTTATTATTTAATTAGTTGATTGACAATAAGTTCATCCACAAAGGTTCAATTCTTTTTTAAACACATTTGCTGGAGTTTTTTTTTTTTGTCTTTTTTATTGTGATAGAAAATATTTTTGGGTTACAGACTTTGGGCAAAACCATATATTATCTGAAAACATGACCTTGGGGCCTTGGCATTTTTTACACTGATTTTACAGTACAATAAATCCATTCATTTCTGACAATGCATCCTTTAAGTAAGGAATAACCTGCTTTTAATTAGCATTTGCCTTCTGTTAACTCTGTCTGCTTCTTTTCATGCTAATATTTAATTCACCCTTTTTTATTTTCTAAAAACCTTTATCCTAAATGTGTACTTCTTCATTTCCTCTTTTTAGAAGTGGTAACTCCAAGAAGTGTTTGGAAAACAGAAATGGTTTTTGTTAATCCTCTGATTCAAATTCTGAACATTTTACTGTTATGTATCTAACATGCTGGACAGATTTAAGAGTGTCTGCACAGCTTTTGCATTTCTCCCTACATTCATGAAAGTTTTCCACTCTTCCAGTGGAGGGTGCTACTGTCCACAGTAGTACTGCGCTGCCGGATTAATTCTCTCATTCTGTGGTCACAGGTGGTTCATTAGTTTGTCAGTCACCCTGCCTAGATGCCTTTACACTGAATCTCTGGTTATCTGCGTCTCTAGCAATCTGACTATTTCTGTCAAACTAACTGTGTGTGACAGTCTGGCCACATTCCAGCTCTCCCTCATTCTGCCCCGCCCCAACGTGCCTTATTTGGTCTCTCCACATCTCCATCAGGAATGAGAGGAATCTGCAGCAGAAGCAGCAGCTGGCAGGTGGGCTGATGTCCCATGATGCACTGCATGGAGCACGCCTTGTGCCACTCACCCCACATTTAAACTTTTATAGTGTTGGGAGCTCAGCAATCATTTTTGCAGTCACACTTCTATTCTCTACAGGAGAAAGACCGGCATTCGGTCATGGCATGGACAATGACAGCCAAAGACACATTCATTCTCCACAGTGAATTTAGCAGAGGGGGGCAGACGCTGCTATTGACATGTAAACCACAAATGTAACATTTGTCACACGCAAAGAACAGAATCTCCCCATGATACCTAGCGTTAACCTACTTATTCTGTGTAAATGAGGCTCAAGTCTAATGAGAATATGCCTTAAACATCCAAACTGGGAGCACTGCAGCGTAAGTGTGCTGTGCCATCATTTCGCTCTTTAAAGTCACATAAGCACATTGACAAACCCTCAATTAGTCACATGAATAATGTACATAATACACAGATACATGCTGTACATGTAATGAATCAGACACACTCACTGAACTCCTAACAGCTGCTCTCAGCACAGGAATCATGCTGACATGTCAGGTGCTTACGACATTACTGGCAGCTGAAAATAAAATAAAACTGCATACTGGTTTGACACAAAAATGAGAGCAGGTGAGTAATCAGTAATGACAGTGCTCTTCAAAAGCACAGGTGAAAATACATGTAGATGACTGAATGTGTGTTTGCTGTGCACAATCCCAAAGAACACTATAAATGCTAATGCCAATAAGTTAGGCTTAGTTCTTTTGTACCAGTTGAAGGCAAATTGTATTAGTCAGATCCAATTTTTGTGTTCATTTCATAGTAGGGTCTTTTATTTGCAGTGACTAAGTGTTTCACACCTTCCAGTTACATCTACTGTATAATGTTCTGTTCATTCAATGCATCTCTGTGTGGAGTAGCTGAGGTCAGAGTGGTAGAAAGTACAGAAAAGACACCACAGTTGTTGGATAGCTAAATACTGCTTTACCTCCAAAGTCACTAAATAATGGAAATGAAATGCATCTCTCATACACTCACGTTTTAAGTGTGCCAGACGTCATGAGTTCAGTGACTAGGACTATACATTTCTTTCCTTTGCACGGTCCCTCCCAGGAGTCATAGAAGCGGACAATGTTAGGATGCTGGAGACCCTTCAACATGCCGGCCTCCTCTTTGAATCGCTGACGCTCCGACTTGGACAGTTTACGATCCTATAAGACAGAAGAGGGAATTTAGTCATATATCCACAACACTAAGAAAACATTGTTCATCTGAAATCTGGAGAAATTTTTACCCAAATAAAACTTGCCTGTAAAACATGTTATTACAATCAAGAGAAGCAGGAAAAGGTTTTGCCGGTTGGAGAGAAGAGTTAATAAACAGAGCAGGAAAAAAGGTTATGCAGAGGGATGACTGTGGGAAAGGATTAACTACCTACAAAATATGGGTCCAACTATGATTTGACAACAGGATACAAGCATCTTTAATATCTATCACTGATGTAAAATGTAAAAATACTGATTCAGATGAAATATGAATCCAGGTACTATCACAAAATGTTGCTCTAGTGAAGGATGTGGATAAAACAGACAGTCCTCAAGCCACTAACATCCAGAAAATGTGAGGCTGCATTTCGATCCATTTTTGACACTGTATACTTCATTCTTCAGTTATTTGTGAGGCACTTGGTGACAAACTCATTTATGAAAGGGATATTGGTGACTTTTTGTGACCGCAGTAGTGTGGGATCTCAGTGTAAAAACAACTAAAGCCTGAAATCCTGGCTCCTACTACTTATGTCCTTCATATTTTTCTTTTTCAGTCCTAAAATGGAGGCTTTAAATTTTGCACCAAGCTTTATCTGAGTCTTTATTAGATGCAGCCACCAAGTGACAGTTTGACCAAAACAAGCTAAGAAAAGAAAGTTGAAGTCTACATTCTTCCATTCTGTGGAAAGGGAACTTCTCAGAAAGGTCCTTCACACATACACACAAACAGTTTAATAGGCAGCTCTACCACTGATACCTCCATAGATGCAAAGAGCAGTATAGGCAGGTTGACTCTTGTAACAACACGCTACTGTGTGCATGCATACATGAACATACGTGTGTAAAAGCTCTAATGCATTCATCTGTGGCTGCTCTGTGTACGTGTAGGTTTTAATTTCAATGTAGAAAAGCCAAAATTATTTATAATGATTTGGTTGTAGGCATTACTTTAATTCTTGAAGTTAACCAGTTCTCTGTTGCAGTTTAAAGGAATATATTCCACAGTATTCTATGAGATTTTGTGCTAGGTGAGAGTGTGTATATGCTCATTTGATTTTCTCTGTGTGCACATTGATGTTTGTAGTTTCTTCACCAGCCCTGTGTCTAACTGTAGCTGACACATCCAGCACATCACTGCCCAAAAAATAAATAAAATCAAAGCTGCCTGACAATGATAAAAAATAAGCTGACAAGCTCAAAGCATTTAAGCCCAGATATGACTGCAAAGTCCTCCTTAAATTATTAAGCTGTTACAAATAGGCTGCACCAGATATGAAAAAAACAGGTTAAAACTAAAATGAAATAGATGTTACAATTAACATGGAACAAACAGAAATGTGTGCTTTCAGAGGAAATCATGACACACATCCTGAATGTTTCATAATATCTGTGACCCTTTAAGAGGAAGAAATGACAGGCATGTGAACAGACAAACATTGAAAGAGCAGCATCACAGACACAAACGGCGTTATGTGGAGTGGTGGAAGAGGTGCACAAAAGTAGCAAAAACTAAGTAAAAGTAGCAATACCACAGTGTAGAAATACTCTGTTACAAGTCTTGAATTCAAAATGTTACTCAAGTACAAATGTACCAGCAGAAAATATACTTTAAGTACCAAAATTAAAAGTACTCATTAAGAAAAATGGTTTACACTGATGTACATCATATTGTTCAATTATAATTATTTATGTATTATTGTGTACATCACATTTAATGTTGCGCCTGGTAAAGGTAGAGCTCATTTTCATCTTATATGTTTATAATTTCAATTACTGCTGGGTAGCTTATTAAATTTACACTAAGGATCAATAGATCTTGTAATTATACTGTATTTTGTTTTAGCAAACTTTTTCTGAAAAGTTATCAAATAAATATAGTGAGTAGAAAGTACAATATTTTTCTCTGAAATGTAGTGCAGTTGAAGTATGTAGTAACAGAAAAAGAAGATATTCAGGTAAAGTACAGAAACCTCAAAATTTTACTTAAGTACAATACTTGAGTAAATGCACTTAGTTACTTTCCACCTCTGGTTATGTGTCTGTTTAGAGAATGCATGAGAGAATACCTGAAACCTCGAGTGTGCAAGGGGCATCGAGGCATGTCAGAGTCTTAAATTTAAGTTCAATTTACAGAAGCGACAATATTTTAAGATGAAACAAGGTCAGATGTTCGAGGTTAGACGCCTACTTCAAGGAACATTATCAGGATTATCACCATGGCATCCAGTTTCAAAAAGAGGGTCAAAGAAGGAAGCCTCGACTCCAAATCAGTGGTTCTGCTTCACAAATTAAATGCTGTGAATCAGTCACTGTATTGTTTTGAATACTTCATTTGAATATGAATTAAAAACTTAAATTCAAACAGTGCAAACTATCAAAACAAAGAACATGCTCGTCACTCAAATGGTTTAAAGTGCATGCTGGTTAGTTTTCTGTTTGACCCGAGTTGCTCTAACATGACACATGTAGGCAAGATCAAGCTCCTGCAATTTTTGGAGGTAAGCACCACAGCTGCTCTCCACCAACTGCAAGAGGCCATGATGGGAAACACCTGGCTCTCACCTGAGCTAAGAGCTGATTGGTTTGTTTGTTGGATAAATAACATTGTTTTATAAAAATGTACAGTACATGTTATTTAATGAAAGAGAACTGGTTTTTATTAGTCAGCTTTTGTACTATGAAGGTTTATTTTGTTCATGGCTGATTGTGACTTTCATCAGTCGGAGAGACTGATCAGTCAGTCTCCGATAGTTCTACTCTACATTATTATTACTTAATCTGGCGGAAACATTTGGTCAGCAGAATGTGAGGATTCTGTTGAGAAGCCGAGACGATATCCGACTGATCATCACTGAAAGCATGCCGTTTCTTTCCACTCACTGTTTAATTTGACAAGGAAACTGATGTATATGTTGAATATATGTATGTAGTTTCAAAATCAGGTCTGATCAGCTAATATAGAGCAGAAAACTGATATGACTTCAATACATGAGAATTGTTGCTTGTCTACTAAATGCTATGCAAAATATCTGAGTACTAAAGAAATTAAAACACAAACACAGGCTACCTATATACCAGTCTTCCTGTCAACCTAAAACAACAACTACTGGACACTGAGTACAAGCTGACTAGTTTGGTTTGATGATATCTATTAAATCTGCATCTGATCTAATGAGACGTGAGTGTTTCTGTGTCTTCCTGTACAGGCTGTGAAGGCTGGTGGGAAAGGTTCCACACTGTCTGTCCTGACTGTGGCTTACTGTCACAGCCCCATGCTGCTACCAGCTCCTCTGGTCCGCTGTCAAGATGAGATGCAGTACATATGAATGCATATGAATGAATTCCTTCTCTTTTTCCTACTATGATCACATGACCTTGTGATCACATATCAATAGCCGAAGGTCACCTGACTTACTGGAAACATTCCACTTCTCAGCAGCACTTAAAAAGACCCTGACTACCCACATCACTCTTAGACAACTCCCTCAGGGGACTAGATCACGCCTGTGTCTCTCACTTAGTTTCTCTCTCTTACTGTGTGTGTTCTTGTACTTGCTACATAGTCCAACAATTTTTTTTTTTTTTTGCTACAGAGTCAGGACATGTTTGGAAAATGACGACATTTTGGCAGGTCCTCACATTTTCAAATACCTTTTTGAGGGTTAAGACTTGGCTTTAAGGTTCATGTTAGAATTAGTTTTCGGTTAGGTAAGGGTTATAGTTTAAGCATTTAGCTCTGATGGTTAAGGTTATAGCAAGGTTATAGCAGTCCACTGTCATCTCCACTGTTCTGAGCATGTTCAGCTCCAGGATGTTGCAACCACACCACAGGACCAGCTGTTCAACCTCCTATCTACAGGCTGACTTGTCACCGTCTCAGATAAGACCAATGACCGTTGGATCATCTGCAAACTAGGAATTTAACAGAGAGGTCCTCTGAGGTGCAGTCGTTTGTGTAAAAGGAAAACAGCAATGGAGAAAGAGCACACATCCCTGAGGGGCGCCTGTGCTGATAGTGTGAGCGTTGGATGTGGCTCTCCCCAGCCTCACCTGCTGCTTCCTGTCTGTCAGAAAGCTAGTGATCCACTGACAGGTGGGGACAGGCACAGTGAGCTGGGTCAGTTTAGAGTGGAGGATGTCCGGGATGATGGTGTTGAACGGCGAGCTGAAGTCCACAAAGAGGGCTGGTACATAGGTCCCTGGAGAGTCTAGGTGCTGCACAATGTAATGCAGTGCCATGTTGATTGCATCACCCATTGACCTATTTGCCTAGTAAGCAAACTGCAGGGGGTCCAGCAGAGAATCTACAATGTCCTTCACGTGGGCCAACACCAGTCTCTCAAAGGACTTCATAACTACCGATGTCAGGGTGACAGGTCTGTAGTCATTCAGTCTACTGATGGAGGGTTTCTTGGGATGACGGTGGAATGGTTGAAGCAGGAGCGGATTTCACACAGCTCCAGTGATCTGTTGAAGATCTGTGTGAAGATGGGTTGCTGCTGGTTCTGAGGTGAGGTGGGTGACAGGTGTGGAGTTCTGCTTCTAAAACCTACAGTAAAACACATTCAGGTCATCTGCCAGTTCTACAGCAGGGGGGTGGTTTCCTGTAGCTATTAATGTTTTTCAGGTTTCTCCAAACAAACGAGGGGTTGTTTGCTGAAAACTAGGTTTTCAGCATTTCAGAGCAGCTCCCCTTTGCTACTCTGATCTCCCTTGTCACTATGTTCCTGGCCTGCCTGTGCAGGATCCTGTCTCCACTTATGCTCTTTGGACAACAAAGATGCCAGAGTTTTACTGTGAACCAGGGCTTGTTGTTGTTGTGCGTGCAGAAAGTCTTGGTGGGCACACACATCCTCACAAAAGCTGATGTATGTCACAGTGTAATAGATTTGAGCAGACAGCCTACAGGGGGGTTCCTAATCCATTATTAATGATTCATTCTT